AGATGTTGGCGTTGATGGAGTTGATATACTCTCGTGAAATGAGTTACTTCTTGAATGTGATGGTCTTATTCCATTAAAAGCCGAATTACTCAGTTCAGTATTTATTGTTCCAAGCTTTTTAGATCTTCCAGTAGTCTGAATTTCAGTAATAGCATTTAATGTATCATTGGAAATAACAACACTCGGATATGAAGTTCTTTTGCCTTCGGAGGATGATCTTCGAGTTCTTGGTTTCGTATTATTTGAAATACTCTCGTTACTTCTCTTTTTAATAGGAACCTCAGTATTTTGAAGTTTTTCCAATACTTCGTGAATTGTGGGACGTTTTTTAGGATCATCATTCCAACATTGTCGATAAATATCAACAAAAGCTTTCGGAGATCCTCTAATTGGTTCTTCCCGTTCACCGTTTGATATCCGAGTAGCCATTTGTAACTGAGCCAATGATGAAGAGGACGATGATGATGATAAAAACGGAGGCCTACCACTTGAAATTTCCCAAAGTAATATTCCAACACTATAAATATCCGATTTAGAAGTTCGTTTATATTGCGAGTTCTTTAGACTTTGTGGCTCTATATACACTATATCACCTTTAGCATCAGAAACACGTCTAGTAACTTGTGAAGAATTTTTGGATAAACCAAAATCTGTTATTTTTATCACACCATCGCTCAATAATATATTGTTTGAGTTCTGAAAGTTAAATAATTAGACATAGTAAAAGAAAAAAAAAAAAACTTATTTTGGATTAGAATATAATATAAATTACCAAATTTCCGAGGATTATATCATTATCATGCAGACAAACTATACCACTCGCTATCTGCCTAGCAAGGTTTAATTTATCATTCCATGACAATGAAGAAAAATTTTTTTGAAGATACCGGCGAAGAGTGCCACCGTCTGCGTATTCAAATACCAAAAAATATTTTTTGGAAGACACATCTATATAAAGAATTATAAATTGGATAATGTATAATACAATCGAACACATATAGATAAACTAATCTAGTAATGACAGAAAGCACACCTTGAGTAATTCCATAAAATTTCAAAATACTATTATGATAATCAATTTTTTTATACGATTCCAACTAAAAGAAAATGAAAAAGTATAGAGATTGTATTATAATTTATTCAATTGTGACATTGTAATTTCAACAAAATTGGGTGATATTCGTTTTAATACTTAAAAAAGATTTATCGGGCGAGAAACAAATTATTACCTCACTGATAAATTTATCTATAACAGATTTATCATCAGTACCAAGATTTCCTTTCCATCTTTT